CAGTGGGGAGAGGGTTCCTGTAGAGCCATGCTCCAGTAGGAGGTCTGTCTGATTGGTTCCATCCCAGGCCATACAGACACTTCACGGATCAGCCCTGCCAGGCTGAGGCACTGTGCTTCATCAGTAGCAGAGAGAAACCCCTGCCGTATGCTCAGCATCATTTAAAAACCTTTATGATTCCAAAAGAAGATGAGCTCACATTCCCAGGCCAAGACTTTGATGGATGTGTTGGAAGTCGTTAAAGAGGGGCCTGAGACATTACACTTCCCATTCATGTCTATAAGATCTGGCTAAGATGCTCATCTTCCATAAAGTGGGTGTCCATCCGAGCCCATGGGCAGTTCTGAGACAATTGGTGAGTCAGTAGGGAAAAGGCAGGTGAGTTAGAGGAAAAACATGCATTTAAAATAAAACACACACAGAGTAATGCATTTTTGTGAATGTACTCAAATACATGGCATGTATAAGTCATAAGTCTACATGTGGGTGTTTATAGAGATATGTACATGCATATGCACACATATACCCATAAATACAAAAATGAACTGGTTACCAGCCTCTAACACAGTGTTATCATTTAGTGGAGGTGGCTCCCAATCTAGCCACATATGGGATATGGATTTTTTGGGTAAATGGCCCTTAGCAGAAGGGTTGGTATTTAAAAATAGCAGTGATGAGAAAAAGAAAAGATACAGAGGAAGAGTAAGACAAGAGAACTGGCAGGTGCATGCTAGGCCCAGGCCAATGGCTACCTATGAGGACAGGGTCAGAGGTGGAGGTTAACAGGGTTTTCATCATATCTACCATGGCATACTTTGCCCTAAGAATAAAACTTTCAATGAAAATATAAAATAAAATCCCAGATAGTTTAAATAATAGAAATGTGAATGTTGTATTCATCTGTCTCTGTATTTTTCTGTACATTACATTTCCCAGAAAGTAATGAAGATCATTTCAATTGCTTCTCCATATCCATGTGTTATTATTGCCCAGTGCCCTCAGGGTGTAGATGGCAGGAGTTGTGTGTGAGCAGCTTCTAATCTTCTCCCACTCCAAAAGTCCTCAGACTTCTAAATTAGCCCAGACTAGCCCTTTACAGATTAGTAAGCCGGTTCTTTATGCTATTAAAACTAAAATAAACAGGGCCTGTTAGATCACAGAACTCTGGAGGCTAAGGCAAGAAGATTATGAATTCAAAGACTACCTGGGCTACACGACAAGCTAGAGTCCAGCCTGGGCTACACAGCAAGACCTTCAAACAAAATTTTAAAAAAGCAAATGAAATGCATAAAACGGATGCTGTTCATTTCTAAGTTCAAGCATCCGTCAAATGCAGCATGAAGTTTCTGGCGTGCTGGGCTGAGTGATGGATGGGTTCTGCCATAAGTTGCTCCCGGCCTAGGAGGACAGACAGATGATATGTGAGGGAAAAAATGAAAATGCACTGTGGGCAGTGTGTAATAAGGACATTTTTACTACTGCATACTGTCTGAAACAAAGAGGTTCATGATGGAGTCTTGGGGGCTATATTTCTACAAAAGGACATTAAAAGGGGTCTAGGAAGACTAATACATCAAGAAAATAAATAGGAGGGAAATGAAAGACATGGAAACCCTTTATATGCCAGTCCTAAGATGTGGATCCCAATGTCTTTAAAGACAGTGTGCTATAGGCTTGGACAGCAGCCTGTGGCACTAAAGGGAAGTGGCAGAACCTTGATTGGGTTGAGCCTAAAAGGAGGAAGTTAGGTCATTAATAATATGACTTGAAATAGACATAGGGGTCTCAGTCTCCTCCTGTCTGTCTCTTGGCTCCCATGCCACTATGAGGTGAGCACCCCCTCCATGCTCCATCACAACGATGGACTGCGTATCAGTGAACTAAAATCCCTCAAAACCATGGTCCAAAAGTAACTTTTCCTCCAATACATTGATTTCCTAAAGTATTTTGTCACAGCAGTGGGAAGCTAACTAACACAGTCAATTACCTACATATTACAGCATTCAACAACCCCAAAACAAGGTAGTAGTATTTCTAACTTACACTTAAGGAAATAGAGGCTCTGAGAAAGTAAGGACCCATGTGGAAGCCAAAGAGTAAATATGGATTCTCACCCAGATTTGAAATTTCAAGCCTGAAAGGAGAGTATATATAAAGACATGGGGTTCACCTAAGGCACAATTGGGAGCCTTCAGGAATGCATGCTGTCACTTTCCCCCTAGATTTGAATGCACAGTATGATAACCTCTAATATCAACTTGACTGGCTTCAGAATCACCTAGAAGATTGAGGCCACCTTTGATGTGTCAGTAAATATGTTTCAGAGAGAACTGAGGAAGAATAACCCACTTAGATTACGAGTGACATCAGCCAGGTGGTGGTGGCACACGCCTTTAGTCCCAACACTCGGGAGGCAGAGGCAAGCAGATCTCTGTGAATTCGAGACCAGCCTGGTCTACAAGAGCTAGTTCCAGGACAGCCTCCAAAGCCACAGAGAAACCTGTCTCGAAAAAACAAGAAAGAAAGAAAGAAGGAGAAAGAAGAAGAGAAAGCACGGAGGAGAGAAAGAAAGAAAGAAAGAAAGAAAGAAAGAAAGAAAGAAAAGAATATGAGTGACATCATCCCATGGACCGAAGGTTTAAAAGAGGAGAGGAGATTAATCTCTCCATCACAGTGAGTTGACAGGTAAGTGGCCCCAGTCATTTGTTTCCACCCTGTTTCTTTAAACTCTATCAGACCCTCCAACCATGATGAACTTCAGAACACAAATCAAAAAAAATTTTTTTCGTTAGTGATCTGGTTGTACAATTAAAATGGAAAATGGCATTCATCGACAAGCAAAGATTAAAACTATTTGTGGCATATGGTATCTGTTTATTGATCCTAAAATGAGGTAAAACCTAAATTAAATGGAATATGATCAAGATCTGAGAGATGCAAAATTAATTCTACATAGTCAGTCTTGAACACACCAACTCTCTCCATTTGCCCCTAATTTCTGGTTGCCTGACTTTAGAAAAGGACATGTTTTACTTCTACCTGTGGGGACACATCCTCCTTGACACACCACGACTAAATAAGGCAGATCAGTCTGGAAAAGGAGATCAGGGGATGGGAGATGCCAAGGACAGCTGAGGGGAGGCACCGCCCTGAATGCTGCCTAATCCATCCGACATGGGACACACTGTTCCAGAAACAGGATGACAATTAATAGGAAAAAGCTGCTCTCACATGACTGCCAAGCCTGTTCCAGGGTCTCAGCTGCTGGTATGCCTCCTTGGGGGAAGAACAATAATGCCCCATTCTTCCTTTTGGTCCACATCCTGATGTTTTCTCGTGGAGAAGAAGGAAAAGGTTGCAGAAAAAATATATACAGCATCAGTGCTCACAGCCAAGGGCCCAAGGATTACCCAAGACGGAAGGCTTTGAGTCACTCAGCAGTCATCCCATCTAAACCTGGGGAGCTCTGCTTGACAAATGGTAAGTGCTGGCAGAAAAAAGTGTCTTCAATCAAAGTGCCTAAGAGTAGTCTGGACTTGTTTGAGCCATTAAAAACCTATTTCCTCTTTGGAAATTACCAGCATATGTATTTCTCTTGGTCAAAATATTTCAAATTACTCACAAACACTGGATATATAATTCAAAGGTAGAACAATTACCTACCATCTGTGAGGCCCCTAGGTTCAATCCTGACAGCCACGAGACAGGAAGGAGGACAAGGAGAAGGGAAAGGTAGAAGAAACAAGAGGAGAGGAGGGAGGAAAGGGGTAGGAAATGGGAAAGAGGGAAGGATGAAGAAAGGAAGGCCAAGAAGGAAAAGAAAACTTGGCTTGCCTTCATCTATGACTTCATCAAATTCGTCAAAAGCAAAGAGTTCAGAAGCAGAAGACTCCAGGAAGACCAGTCTATCTGGCCCCACATTTCAACCCATTAGTCATCTCTCAGTAGCTCTATATGCTAGTGCTACTAATTTTTAAGGGAGGCCCAGAATCTTGAAAATATAATTAAATCTTGCTCCTTTCATGTGCAATCACTCAGCCCTTCACCATGTACAGCCACTCAAACTTTTCTTTTTGTATATGAATCTATGGAATGCTGTCCCTGTGAATGTCACTCATGTTTTCTGCTTTAATCTGAGTCCCAAGGTCAGGATTCCTGCCACAGAAACTAGCTTCTAATATTAAAGCCTTAGGAGTTCCTCTTTCTGGATTTCATAATGTCACCAGCAAACATCAGCATGAATGTTGCTTAGGTAACCTTTAATTCTCCCTCCCTACCCACTTCTGCCAACATCAGCCATGCATGACAGCTCCGGCTGGGAGGACATCTTGAAAATCAGGTTTCAATTCTGGAATCCATAGTACCCAGTTTCTTTCAAATCATCTGGCCACATCCATATCTGAGACCATGCAGGTGGATGCTAATTTACCTTGTTAACCCCTTTTGTGCCAGATGTCTCACAGGAGCTTTGGCAGAACACCACACTCCAGCCTCCACTTCTGCCATACTGGGGTCCTGTACTCTGCTTTGGAAGCTGGCCAGCAGATTTAGAAACCGTGTTGCTCTTGGCATCCATTCTAGGACTCTGTACAGAGCTACGTGCTGAGCTACAACAGTACAGGCAGCTTTTCAATACTAGAGTTCACCACCCTCCATCTCACTGTGCTAAGCCACAACGTGATTCCAAAGATAGGTACAGATGAAAAAAGAAATCATGCAAATATGGTGTCCCATAGACTACCACTAGTGAAAAGAAATTGCCATTTGCCTCATACCCAACTTACTGCTCAAACTGTTCTTATCACACAAGTCCATTTGAGCAACCAGTAGTTTTCAGCATCCCTGTTTGGTTCCCATAGATGCCAACACAGTCTTCAGTTCATAATTACCCAGAACAGGGTACAGAGAGGGGTCTCCACCAGGACTACTGAGATCCAATGACCAGCGACGACTTCAGAGAATACATGGAAGTGTAAACAGCATCTTTTGTTGAAAAGGAGCTATGCTTCCACTATGGAACTCTTGGAACTAAAAAGTGCCATCTTACCCTTCATTCCAAATTTGGACCGGCGACCATACTTGTTGATCATGATAAAGAGAACCACCAGAAGGACGCAGGCAAAGGCAGCAAGTCCAACTGCTATGGATACCTATTAGGAGTCAAACAGAGATGGTCAGGAGAAGTGACAGGAAGCCTCAGAGATTCAAAAGTAATATATGTGCCCAATGAGAACCAGCCAGTTTCAGCAGAATAAGGTCCCCTAAAACCTTTGCTACTGAGGTTATGCAACCTGAAAGCTACATGCCCCATGCACCAGAGGACACGTATGCATATAATGCCATGGCACAATGTCAAAATATTGGGCAACCCTGGAGGAAAGTCTTTAGAAGTGGTTTATAAACCCCTAAGAGAACTTTAAGATTTTTATTTAAAAAATATAAATTAATAAGCTTGGTTATGGGAGGTTCCCTGATCCAATACTCTTAGCCCCTCTTATCTGGAGGCCATTCTAGGATTGCAAATAGCAAGCTGAGAGAAACTTCTGTCTAGGGTTTTAATTAGCAAGCAAATTTGGTGTCTTTCCACTGAAATCTTTGCATAGTATTTCTACTCAGAGAGATCTAGGAGTTCTGGACGCAACAGAATCCTTTCTTCTTCTCCCCAGGAAAACCTCAGACTCCGAGACAGGCATGGGAAAACTTATCCACAGAGATTCTCTGAGTAATTTGGGGTTTTGTAGAAGGTTTGCCCAGTCAGTAGGCCTTGCAAGCCTGCTGGGCCTGGCTCACAACAGACTGGGAATTTCAAACTATTCTCTTCCTAGCCCTGGGGCTTGGAGCTGGTCCTCAAAGGCCTCTTCAAACAATGAGGCACTCCCATCAAACAAGGACAGTTCAAAGGAAATTATTTCTCACTGTGTGTGTGTGTGTGTGTGTTTTTTTTTTCTACCATTGGTACTGAGGCTCCAAGTAAGAGACTATGTAGGAAAGTTAACACCTTGAATGAAGCATGAAAAGGACTCTACACTTCAGTATTTTCCTCTTAATCAGGAAGAAACTCACCCCAAAAGTGTCTTCCTCTGGTTTGTGGGTCACAGTGATAGGGGGTGTAGGGCTCGTGTCAGACTCTGAAAAGAAATACAAAGGAAAGGATGGCAGTTAGCTTACCAGCCAGGAGCCCCTGCTAAGCACCCGCTCTGTCCTTGGGAAGCAGGTCCCTAAAGCCATCCTCCTAGCTGAGCAGACACCCTCAGAGACTGAGTGAGTCCCAGTATAGCTACCTGCCTCATGCTTCAGTGCTACCACAAAATCTCAAAAGAATACAGACCTCCTAACCACAGCCCAGAGAACACACCAGTCTGGGCAACACACACCCTCAAGTACATGACAGAAACAATGAAAATGGCTTGGAATCCTGGCTAGCATGGGGATTAGAGTTTACCAGTGGCAGCAGTCATCACTAACATTGTTATCCCTTGTTTAGGGCATCTCTTCCATTCTCCCTTCCTGTCTCATTCCTTCCCCATTTCACTCTAACTCCTCAGTAAAAACCGGGCTAGAACAGCCTTCTAGCCAATCTCCTAAGACTGATTTCAGAACACTATAGGCAGTTGGAATTGAACAACATTCAATGGACCAGAAAACACCACCGAGGGTCATCCTCTATCTACCATCTCTTCCTTGCATGAAATGATCCCAGCTCTGAATTCTCTTAAGAGACACCTGTGGGATTATAAGATGGTTTTCATGACCAAGAACAAGTGAAGGAGTCACAGTTGACATTTACACTGGTGCCAAATGGCCAGGGTATTCCTAAATAGGGTTGTTCTACCATTTCTGCCCAATTTCAGGACCCAAATGGCAATGGTTGCTGCTGCTCCTATTGTGGGCGAGTAATCAAAAAGAAAGTAAAACCCCAACTCCATCAAAGATTGTCCAGAGCTACTCTCAACACTACTATAAACTGGGCTTCAGTGATGCCACCCAAAGACATGTTAGCCCCTGAGAAACCACAATTCTACCCAAGATAGGTTCTAGCCAAATTCTTGATCTCCTAAGGCAGGTGAGAAACACAGGCAAGTTTACAGGCTCTATGTTTTTTCTGAGATGATCAATGGGGTCTATTGTTCACCTTCTGCAGTCCCTTTTCATCCAGCTAGAGAGATTGGTAATATTGTCATACCTTAGAAAATGCCCTGAGTGGTGCAAAGTGGGGATATAGCTCAGCTACAGAATACTGTCTAACCCTGTATTTAATCCCAGCACAGAAGGAGGGAGTTGGTAGTCCTCTAGAGAAACTATGGTTCAGGGCAACTATCCAGGAAAAGTGGGCCTAGGACTTCTTCCTTTTCATAATACACCAACACCCTCAACTGCCAAGGGGCTGGGAACATGAACTAGGCAAGAGGGCAGTCTGAATTTAACAGTCCCCATGCTATATAGACAAAAGAGTTTCAAACCCAAAGTCAAGCAAACTTACCAAAGTCAAAGAAATCTGTGCTTTCTGGGGGAAAAAAAAGAACAGAGAAGTAATTAACAAACATAATAATAACAAAAAGATCAGTTGTTGTATAGGACAGCAACCTACTAGCTGTGACCTCTCCCACTTCCCACATTCTCCATTCCCACAGCGAGGAATGCACAGAAATCCTTCCCAAGTCACCCTCTCCAACCACTGCAAACCTCTTCAGGGAATATTCCTCCAAATGGAGGCTGTACAGGTGCAGCTCCTGGTCTCAAAGAAGGAAGCCCACCTGCAAGCTAACAACCAAGCCAGTTTCATTGTGAGGCAGAGAACTGAGGCCCTGGCCACATACCAGTCCATACCTGTCCCTCTTCCGGTACTAAAACACAGGGGTTGGTACTTCAGAGCAGCTCCGGCGTAAACACTAAAATGAACTCCATTCCCTCAATACATGTAGGCAATGCTAATAGTTACTAAGAAGTTTGGAGCCCCCCGCCTCACGCCACCAGAATCTTATCATCCATGTGGACATGTGTTATCTGAACTTTGACTTATAGAAATGGCTCCCCCAATAATGAAAGCTAATCCTTAACTGGGCTAGGGGCTCTGCTCAGTGTTTCAGGTGTTATTGCCATTCAAGCCTTATAAAATCCTAGAGAATGAATAGCCAAGGTGTAGAGATTAACTAATTGAATACCATTCGTCTAGAAAGAGATTGGAGTTGATTCTAATCTAAGACTGGGCTCTTAAGCACTCTACCAGCACTGCTCATACTTGAGCACAAAAGGGAACGAACCATCAGGAGGTGACTGGCACCATCTTCCAATGAAAGGAATGAGAATTTCTTACAGGAATTGACTGTTTCATATCTGGGACGGGAAAATGAAAGATGTGCTTGGGATAGCTTGTGGCACCAGAAAACAAGAAAGTGCTTGAAGATACATGGTCCTGGAAAGAGAAAGCAGGCAGTGATGCACGGGTGAAATGTTTGATAATCTGAGCAACAAAATAATAAGAGTCGTGGTGTGCTATAGACTGCACCATGTTGCCTCACAATCTATATGACTAAGTTGTAACCCCAATACTTGAGAATGTCACTGTATTTGGAGATAAGGTGCATAAATGAAAATGAGGCCATTTGGGATCCAGATAAGAAGAGATTAGAACATAGATGTGCTCAGAGGGGAGGCTAAGTAAAGATGCAGAAGAGACATACCTACAAGCCAAGGAGAGAGGCCTTGGAAGAATGCAAGCCTGACAACAGTTGGTCTCAGATTCCCAACCTCCAGAACTGTGATAAAATGGACTTTTGCTATTTAAGAAACCCAGTCTATACCACTTTGCTATAACAAACCTATACAACAAATACAGGAATGGCAAAAACACCAACATGTCCTTTATATACACCAGTGTATAACTGAACAAATGAGTGAGAAAATCTCTTCTTCACAGAAGAATTCCAACTAATAAATGGAAGGTTGGAAACAGAAACCACCATCATTTGGTAAATATTATAGTGATAAATGCTCAGGCAAGAATCATTAATGAATATTAAAACTGCATGATGAGAAACAAGCTATTTGTGTCTTTTCAAATCCTTATTCTGATGAACTAAGGATGAAATAAGTCACAATGCAGTGGAGAACTGTAGCAAACAGCATCTTGACTAAGTGATAAAGTTGACCTCACCATTGATAAGCCACATCAACATCATTCATTCTTCAACAGGATGTACCAAAAAGGGTGGAGAAATACTTCCATGATATTCTTACAAGAGAGAGGGTGGGGGAGGCAGGGAAAAAAGAAAAGGAAATGAAAAATGCAAAAGTGGAATTTAATCATGAGAAATAAATAAGATGAAGTCTGTAACAACTAGAGACTTTTCTTCAGAGGATCACTGAGAACCTATCACAGAACCAAAGGAACTGAGGTTATGGCAAGGCAACTAAATTTGATGTCTAATCCTGGGTGTGATCCTACAAAACACAGGGCACTGATAGGGCCGCTGAGCACATGTTAACAGTCTATAAGTTAGGTAATACTGCTAAACCAATGTCCATGTCCTGTTTCTGAGCCCCAGATTGTGGCTGAATAAGACAGTGAAATCTGTGGAGGCCAAGTGAAGGGAAGAAGGTACTTTGTAGTATTTTGTAACTCTTGCCTTTTTTTAGAGCCCAAGTTATTTCAAAGTGAAGTGAAATCACATCAGTACTAGTAGTCCTTAACCCAGAGTTTCTGATTCATAAGGTCTGCCTGCATCTTGATGGATTATATGTGTTGCTGAAGATGGAATCCAGGGCCTCACACATGCTAGGCAAGCCCTCTACCACCAAACCATGCCACCAGGCCCTGTTGCTGTCTAAGAAACCCCTCTTCCACTGAGCCACACCTCCAGCTCCACACCAAGACATTCTGAACCAGTCCTCCATCACTGAGTCACCTCCCTAGCCCTGAGAATTTGCCCAAATTCTCAGGTGATAATGAAGTTGCTAATCCCTCTGGAAGTGACAGCACCCCTGTCACAAGTCTACCAGGCCCTGAAATAAAAGAACAAATCATTCACTGGCTGGCTCATCAGCTGCTTTGCTCATTCATTTATTGTGGTCCTCCACTTACCCAGACCCTGGGTCAAGCCCTTTTAGGAACTGTAGCAATATGAACTAGCAGGCATTTGTCTATCACTGTTTGCAAGGAACAGGGTTGCTTCTCTGGAATCCATCAGGAAAGGCTCACTTTCAGTAACTGTTGTCTGGCTGGATATTTTGTTTCCTGTTCTGTATAATCATGGGGAATATCTTGCTTGGGGGATAATGGAGGAAATGGGGCTTTCGCATAGGCTTCGGAGCATGAAAAGAGAGAGGAGCCAGATTAATCAACAGTATCCATTTACTTTATATTTCTCAGCAGGCTCCCATTTATCAGAGAATTTTTTTCCAGCAGTCAAATATTTTGGCCAAGTGTTTGAACCCTGTAATCTCAAAGTCAGCCTATGAATTTGAGTATAAATCACCAAGTCCTTTGCTGGAGCCAGGCAGCAAGCATACATGCAGAAGCTTGTGCATTTCAAAACAGGGAGATATGTTGGCTGCTCTCTAACCTTAGCAGGAATTTACACATTCATACAAGAAAAAAAAAGATACCAGGAATTGTCCTTCTTCTGACCACTACACCACAGGCTGGGACAAGGGCAGGACTGGGCAATGGGTTCCTACAGCCCCAGACAATAACTCTCCAAGAAGCACCCTTCCTGTGTGTGTGTGTGTGTGTGTGTGTGTGTGTGTAGGGAAAGAGAGAGAACATGCATGTGCATGAATATAAGATCTGTGTGCACAGCCGTGGTGTGTGTGTGTGTTTGTAAGGGAGTGAATGCATGTGTATGTACATATGACATGTCTGTGTGCACAGCTGTGTGTGCATGTGGAAGCTAGATGACTCACTGAACAGGAAGCTTGCCATTTCAGCTAGGCAGACTACTCAGCAGGATCAGCCTGTCTTGTCCCTGTCTCCCCAGTGCTGGGGGGTACAGTTGTATACATCATGCCTGTTTTTTTTTAATGGGTTCCAGGGATTCAAACATATGTCCTCACGCTTGTAGAGCAGGGGCTTTTGCCTTTAGAGTAATTTCTCCAGCCCCTCATCGAAACTCTTTCTTAAACGAGATTTGTTTTTATTATTGTTTATGTGTGTGTAGGTGGTCATAGAGACCATGAAAGGCCATCAGGTCCCACCTGGGTGGCTTTTACTCAAGTGACCTGAGTGCTGGGAACTGGTGTTGAGAGAGCAGCGAGAGCTCTTAGCCACCAAGCCATCTTCCAGATACCTCCATCTTAACTTTTGAGGAAGAAGCAAGTTAAGTAGTTTGTCTAAGATCACAACTTACAAGTAATTGTACCAATACTTGAACTCTGGTTTGGTGGTCCATAGTCACTACCCTAACATACCCTGGGGCTACCTGATAAATTTCTACCTGAACTGAGAATGGCTACTGTCCTGGAACTCCTGAATTCTCCTCATCTCTGCACCCCAGAAACCATAACAAGAGCCAACAGCAATTAAGTGTTTTCTTTGCTCCAGTGCACAGCTGAATGAACTTCATTTGCTCTTCAGTGCAACCTAGGCAGGAGCTACTGTGGCTATTCCCAGGCAAAGGACAGAAGCATCGAGCAGTTTCCACATTTCACAGAGCCCAGAGAGCTGTCCACATGCTAAGTCCCAATCTAGCATCCTGGGCAACCTATCTGAAAGAATCACAGATGGATGGGACTTGTACCTAAATCTGCCCAGCCTCAGAGATCTGGCTCCTAACCATACCACAAACACATGGTGGCCTAAACACTGTCAGGCCAACAAAGAGTGGGATCCACAGACTGCCTTTGCTGCCAGCACCCAGCCAGCACAAGCTTGAGCTGAGAGGGTTGTAGGTTATCCCTGCCTGCTCCTCCAAATAATTTACTCTTCTGAACACTTAGATATCTTGTCACTTGACATGGCTGGCCCATCTTTTCTGCCACTGCCCTTTCATCATCCATCAATTCCTTTAGTACCAAGGTTCATGAAACAAGCAAACTTCTCCACAGAGAGGTTCATCCTGAATTATGGGTAAGTCTGAGGAAGGGTCTCAGGTATGCCGCTTTCTTTTCCAACTTCTCTGGGGTTCCAGGCTCACTCCTTCCCTCCTCCTGGGGCTGACTTGCCAACAAGGGCTAATAGTAGCTGAATGCCAAAGGCAGGATTGCCAAAGTCACCTGGGGAATTGAAAATCCATCTCTACAGGACTCACCCCTAAGTCTCTGATTCAAGAGAACTAAGGGAGCTTGAGAATTTGAATTTTAGTTCATTCCCAGGTAATACTGACTCTGCTTGTCTAGGAACTTTGAAAACCAAGCCTGGGGTATATCAGCAACCAACTATGGTGAATAGACCTGTCTACATGGCTGGAGGATACTGAGGCACTATTTTCACCTGTGAGAAGAGAGGGTAAAAGGAAGACTGCACCCATCATATCACCCATTGCCCCTGCTGCCCTGTAGCATTCAGAACATTCTCTGGAGGTAGGCGCTCAAAGTGGCTCACCACCCTATTTAATATTCTAGAGCTCTCTCTGTGTCCCAAGAGCTTCCCTTTGGAAACAGAAATGCTGCTTCACTCTACCCATCATGGAGTAGGGATGCAGATGGGTTATAGGGGCCATACTAGCTCTCTATGGCAACAACTTTGTGGGCCATGAGAGCAAATTATCTCCATAGTGAAAAGCCACTGATGCCACACTGCAGGCCAGAACTCTTCTTCCAGCCAAAAGAGAGCCCTCTGTGGTCCCTGATGGGAAATGTCTTGAGGCTTTGTGAACACACCTGGGTGGTGTTGGGAAGGTCAGGACCTAGAGACTGCTAGGGTCTCTACAATCAGCCTGTTATCAACCTTTTCTGAGAAATAACTCCATCATTCCCTGGACCTCAGCATTTAGGGCCACATACAGCCTCATGATACCAGTGTCACTTGTGGGGCCCCAGCTCTCCTTCCCTTACACTGAGATAAATAAGCTTCCAAGAGCCACCACCTTGTGGTTATTTGTAACTATAAACTCACATTCTTCCCAACAGACATAGCATGGTGTTAGCTTTTGGTGTGTCCCCATTTTGGAAGTGTGTGGTATCAGTCCTTACACTTCCCTTTGTCCCTTTAGGACCTCTCACTTCTGAGGATGGAGGACCAGGTAGTCACTCAGTCTGTTCCCAGTACAAATCACAAAAGTCACCAAAGAAACATAGCCACATGGGTATCAGCTGAATAACCCACCAAGCAATGTTGCAACCAGACTCTTTCTTTATACCCTTTTGGACTTTTCTTCTTCTCCAACTTCAGGAAGGTGTTTGGACAGATTGAAAGAGGCAGAATCACCTCCCCAAGCTCAGAGTTCCTCCATTCCTGCAACTATCAGCTCTAGTCGGTGTGACATTTGTACCATCAGTATCTGGTAGCATCAGCTACTTCTGCTCTAAGTTACCACGGAACAAGAGCAGCCCTGGAGGCCAGTTCCAGGGCAAGCCTTGCTTCTGACTAGCTGGCTGAAACCTGAGACAGCAATCTGTTAAATGTGAGGTTGACTTGGACCAACTCTGAAGTTCACTGTGATGTAGAATCACTGAGCTATTATCACATATCAAGCCTTACATCTTAACTCATTCAAAACTCTTAGTGGAGCAATGGGCTCGTGCATCTGCCTATTTCACAGCTGAGGACATTGAGGCTTCAGAAAAGCATACTGTCAAGCCCAACATAGCATGCTCAGGGTAGTAAAACACCGGGTCAAAATTTGTTACCGTATCATCCATCTCTAAAGTCCCTGGTTTATCTACTATAATACAGGACATCTTTATATGCACAGCAGGTTTTGGTGGGGGTGGGGGAATCCTGGAGATAGTTGTGGTAGCCATGGAAAATGGAGGTTATCCTAGCTAGACCAAGATGTACATGGTGGCTGCCCCATCCCAGTGTGAGTTCAGTTATTTAGGTAACTGTGGTCATCAGTGCTGCCTATTCTTTCAAACTACACCCCCTTCCCCAGCTCCCAGAAGAAATGTGTGCCTGCCTTACCTGGAAAGGGCTCCTTAAGGAAGTGGCCATTGATGGTCTGGTTGGCTGTGCCCAGGGCATTCTTAGCAATGAGGGTGTAGTTGCCATTGTTGTAGTGGGTGGGCTTGTTGAAGAGCAGGCAGCCCTCAGAGACCTCACCCTCCTGGTAGTAGTCCATGTGAATGATCTTGGACTCCCTCAGTGGCTGCCCATTGTACAGCCAGTGCAGTGTGGGTGTCGGGTTGCCACGCACCACAAACTCAATGCAATGCTCCAGGCGTACCTCGGGCTCCACCAGGCTCACCACACGTGGAGGGTCTGTGGGGAAAAGCAAGCTGATCTCGAGGGCACAGAGTCTCCTATGTACCGAAGAAGCCTTCTAGGAAGCAGGATGGGGATCCCACTTCTCATCCAGCTCTGAAAAGGCTAGGTGAAGCCGAGTTCCCACCACCAGCCAAGAGAGGAGAAGAGACATGTGTCTTTATCTAAGCTCCCTGCATCTATCTTAGCTGGAGCTCCCCTCTTGAGTCTTTACAGGGATGCCAAAGGTAGAACTGAATTGCAGAGGTATACTGTCCACTGAGGGACAAGGAAATTCTTCCCTGGGTTTATTGTCCCAGAACTTATTTTTTTAGTTTTGCCTTATGACAGCCTTTCTACCCTTGTTGGAAGACCAGGATCGGGGTTCTAGATCAGCCCTACCAATGGACCTGCCCCATCCCCAGCCTCCTCCTGGTACCTCTCTGTCGTCCATGATGGCATGCACTTACAGTAGACAGTGAGAGCAACACTGGCATTGCTCATGCCCACCACGTTCTCTGCAATGCACGTCAGGGTGAAACCATTGTCCTCGCTTGTCACATTCACCAGGGTCAAGTTGATGGCATGAACATTGGTCCAGTTCAGATTGGTCTGAAAACCCCAACCAGAAGATAATAACCAAACCATTTCCACAAAGATGGCTTCCTTTTCTAACCCCTAATACCTCCAGAAATCAAGTAAAAGGTGAATGAAGTCTAGCTAGTGAAGACACACAGACCATGTTCCAGATCCTTTGCAATTCAATTGATCCTCATGTTAATACTGGGTGGTAAATGGGAAACTTGGGTCTTTTTTATTTTTTAGTTTTTATTTTTGCAAAAGAAGAAACCTAAGTACAGAAAGTTGAGTAGCAAAGATGGAAATGACAAGATATCATGACATCTAGATAGAATCTTCCCAGAGGGGCAGGATCACAATTTCCCCCTTTATTCCATCTTTATAACTCAGGGATACTCGGTTCTTAACTCTTGCTGCTCTTGGTTGTAGGATACCTACATGGTGGGTGTTGATGGACTGCAGCCCAGTAACTATCCAGTCCACATCAGGCAAGGGGGAGCCAGAGCCATTGCAAGTGATTACAGCATTGTCTCCTTCTCGGACGGTCAGGTTGACGTGGCTCACACTGATCTCAGGGAGATCTGGGAAGAGAGGAGAGGGAGGTAAAAAGCCAGAAGACAGTGTGCAGAGGAGTTCTGCCTCCAGGCCCTTCTTGCCTTGCCCCGTGACAACTGTAGCGCAACTTGCTTCAGCTCATGTGATAGTAACCTCATGACGGATAATATCAATTTGGCAAGCTCTAGAATCACCTAGAGACACCTCTGAGCATGCCTGAGGGAATATCTAGGTTAGGTTAACTGAGGTGGGAAGACACCATGTTGTGGGCTGGGTCCTGAACTGAATAAAATAGAAAAAGTGAGCTCAGCACCAGCCTTCCCACCACCTCTCCCTCTCTCTCTCTCTCTCTCTCTCTCTCTCTCTCTCTCTCTCTCTCTCTGTGTGTGTGTGTGTGCTTCCCTATGGATACAAAGTGGCCAACTTCCTCAAATTCCCCCATGCAGCCTGACTTCCTTGCCATGGTGGGCTGCACCCTCAAACTATGAATCATAAGTTGTTTTTATCAAATCAATGTGAAAAGAAATGACACCCAGCCCCCACTGGTTCACAGCCTTTCCTCTGTAGGCCTCAGAGTGAAGAAGAG